TTAAGCTCCTAAACTTAATTTCAATGATAGCATGCTGTTCTTTCACTTAAACTGAATAGTAGGACACTGTCGGTCTGTACACAAAAGCCACATACTTTGTATATTACACAAATCTTTTCACGAATTGACAGTTCTAGGAGCAAAAGGTGCCAAAAGTGCAGAATCACTCCAGCATCCGCTCAAGGGAAATGACCAATGAAGCTGGAAACACACGAAGAAACTTAAGCAGTGAGACTTAAGACCTAAGAATTTCAACCAATCGGAATTTTCAGCATTGCTTTACTGTTTAAGTTTTTTCGTGTGAGTCAAGAACGAAAGCAGCCATTTTGAAACCTGAGCAATGCTGAAAATTCCGATTGGCTGAAATTCTCAAGTCTCAAGTTCTTTCGTGCGTTTCCAGCCTTAATTCGGACAATTACAACGAATCGGAGGGAGCGTGCGAAGTGACCCGAAATCGACTTCTCGCCGTCAGCGAAAAGATGAAGCGTTCCTAAACGAAATCTGTCCCGGGTGTTCCAGAGCGCTAGGAATAACGTATGCCGGCGATCGATCGAGATTTCTTCTTTTCTTCGTTTTTCCAAAATCGAATCCATATTTGCGGGGCGCGTCTAAGCACACGGCGAATCGACGAGACGAGACGCGCGCCGGGGGGGGGGGGGGATCGCATCTCCAACAAAATCTCCGTTACTCCTCGCGCGCATCCGAGCTTTCTCCGGTACGCATTTTCCCGCACACGAGCGCCCGCGGCGCGAGGCCATTAGCCCATTTACATAAGCCGACGGAAACGGCGCGCTCGAGAGTATCGGACGATAGAAAATTGAATTCTTGGGAGAGGCGCCTCGCCGAGGCGACTTGTCTCTTATGCAAATTCGTACGCGACGACTTGCGCCCGTGCCGCAACGATTCCGCCGCTTTGGTGTTGCACGGCCGGGCGATTTGTCGCTCATCTCCTTGAACAAAAGCACCGCGACTCTCCCGCGGGAAAGAGTCGACATAATTCAATTAAAAAGCTCGTCTCTTCGCGCGAGCGGACGCTAATCCCAGCGTCGGTAGGTCCACCATTTTCCACGAACATCGGCGGAAAATAGGGTTTCCGACGCTTAAAACGTGATTTATGTCCCACCGGGAAATTCGTTAATTATTCCGCGACACTTCAACCCTCTCTTCAATTGCGCGTTGTCTACCGCTTCCCGTAGCGCTCTCGTAATTCCATTAGGTGCCATGACACAGAAATCTCTTGTTCGCTATTATCATTTTTTTCGGTAAAGTTCCTCGGGGCTTTAAAGCCCTTCGTCGCTCGAACAATTAAGCCGTTTACTCTCGAAGCATCCCGCAGTCCGCATTTTTTAAATACGTATTATGCAACCCGCAGCTTTCTTTATTGTTTTCTATAGTGAGTTTTAGATGCGTGATTTTTGTTACCTCTCAGAAGTGCGTTTCGAAATTTTTGAAACAATTTCTCAATATCTCAATATCTTTTTATCATATATTCAGTCTCTTTAATTAGCTGAAACAACAAATTTACACTTACGCCAATATAAGTTTGTCTGAAATAATTTCAAACGCCGTCTTATGATTTTGCTCTTGTAATTTTTATCTCCAGTTAGTTAATGGCTATCGATTAAAAATTCATATCGGAATATCTATTTTTTTTTATTTACGTATCAGGAATATCATTTCGCAAATTAGTGTGGAATAATGCAACATCAAATGTGAACATTGCGCCAATATTGATTTTCGACATCCTTCATAAATATAGGAAATATAGGACGATCGAGATTAGGCGAGTGATTAGAAAGCAGCTCAAAACCCCTCCTTTCTCCCTCTCATTCGCGTCCCATTAGTGGTGCGGTGGTCAAACGAGAAAAGAACGGCTATTCCTCTGACAGAGATTAGACGCGTGGGCGACAGCGAGAGAAGGGAAAGAGAGATCGATTAAAGCGGGACAAAAAGCGAAAATCGCGGTGATGAAGCTGGCAAGAGGAGCAGAAGAAAAAGGAACGATGGCGAAGGGGTGTAAAGGAAGGAGATTTTCTGAAACCGCGAAAAGCAAGAAGGCGAGCGCGATGGCCATTGTTTCAATTTCCGCGTCTTTTAGCTGCGGCTTTATAATCCTCATCTTCGTTTTCGTTCGAGCGCGATGCTGCCGAACCACAAAAGATCTCCCACGCGAGAGACCAAGCTCTTTATTTCTCTGTCTCTGACTCTTCGATCTTCCGCATAACGCTAGAAGATTGATATGCAACGTACTGTTGGCAGTACACTTCATCTCTGTACTCTCGCATTCGCGAAATACGATGAAATCATGATAATCATTTCAACAAACGTAAATTAATTTTCCAAGTTGAAACTAATATCTTGACGTCGAAATCAAGATTTCGCGATTGCGAAGCTTTCGATTAATTTTTGTCAATAGCTCTCGAAAATCATAAAACTCTTATGTTTCAAACAAAAATCGATCTCACTTTCTGTTAGTTAAATTCCGATGCGGTGACCGGAACTCTTTGGAAAAGAGCCAAAATTTTATCAATCATCGAAATTTCGAAAATCGAATGCTAACTTTACGAAAATCACTTTAATAGTTGTTAGAATACCGAGTTGTAATACAATTTGAATTTAGGAATTTCAGTTAAAAATTACTATATAACTTTCAAGCAAGAAAATTTGCTTGAATACTTTGATAAGTGAAACAGGAGCGTAAAACGCTTTAATCTAGCGCTGCTGAAATGAAAATATGTAGCACAATTATTAAGATGGAGTTCATTAAAACCCACCTAATTTAAATAGCTTAAGTTGGAGCAGCATGAAATTTTATAAATATTTTAAATGATGTTTGTGGTCAAAATAATAATATCAATACAAATGTCAAAAATACTTTCAATCTTTTCTCATTATAAAGATAGACACAGAGCAATTATGAAAAGAACACTATGTTCATGAAGTTTATCATACTTTTTCTTGGTAACATCGTGTTAAACAATTTCTTTCTAAATACTTCCTTGTGTTAATTCTTGGCGCACACACACACACACACGCGCGCGCGCGCGCGCGTAGCCTGAAGTTACGATAACGTTAATACAAATAAACACGTCTTAGTTATCTCCGTCTGAAAACCGATAAAACGATAAGCATGAACTTGGAAATTGTTGTTGTTTAATTGTAACGAACAACATTGAGGTCTCCAGCGCGAGAAAGATAAGAGAAATTGTCAGATTACAGACGTTAATCGATCAACGGGGTGCAAGGAAACCGAAACGGGCGACATAAGCTGGGCTCTAATAGAGCAGGAATTGCAGCCACCGTGATTATCAGGACACAGGGATTACGCTACGGCCATAGTGATTTCACTGCCGCTAAACGGGATAACGCCAGCAGCTACCGGAGGACGACGACCTATCAGCGGATTAACATTACGTGGATTGTGAAAATGCATCATTGATGTTACGCATATAACCGTGCAGATAATTTTATTCCTGACTATCTTGGATCAATTCAAAAAAGCTAACTCTTCATTTAGAAATTAATATTGCATCCTTTTTCCTAAACTTAGGAAAAATCGATTAGACTGACAATATTATAGATCAAATATCCATTTAAAGTATGTGGATTTACTGTGCCAACAAAAAAACTGTGTTTCAAGACCGACAAATAATTGATGCACAGTTTACCGAGTTGGAAAAAGTATACAACATTCACACAGAAATATTATTAGGCCACCAATAGCCGGGAAAATGGAATTTTCTCTAATTGCTTCGCTAATAATTAAATAGTGTAAAGAATTCTTTACGTTAATAGTTTTTATTTGAAACTATCTGCCGTGACTGATTACGCATATAACCATGAAAATCATAAATTCCTCACTGTCTTGAATTAATCACCAAGAAGCTGTTTAATATTACTTCTTTTTCTTTTCATTTTCCTGTTCATTCTGTTCGTTAACGATTGCTACATTAATTTGTGTCAGCTTTTAATATTATAATTCATTTCGATACGCAATGTTTCACGAAACGCAATTAATTGCACTGAAAAAATTATATCATGTATCGAGTCAACAGAAAGTCAATTGACGATAATGCATGCATTCGTAGAACTGTGCTCGTTTACTTGGTTATTTAGATATGACAGTCAACAACGCTTTCGCGAAATGTCAATAACAATTTTTCAACTCAATCCCGACAAGACTAGAACTGGGATATTTCTTCGAAGTTTCGAATATTCGAAGTCAACTAATGTATTAACAAGATTAAAACAATAACAAATTTTGCGAAATTAATCGTTTTTATTGTAACTGCGAACTAATCAAATGCCAACTAATTAATGTCATTACAAAGTATTAAAAAAAAAACAAACGTACTTTTTGTCGGACACATATTTGTCCATTCACTCAAAACAAAACACAATTAAATCGAAGGAAATAAATTTTGGTACGGTCTTTGAAAACTTATATGTTAATGCACTAGTTGACTTCAAATATTCGAAATTTCTTCGTTTCTTCGGATTCTTCGAAGCTTCGAAGTTGCGAAGCTTCGAATAATTAAGATCACTATTCTAAACAGTCAACTTAATAACTATTTTCGTCTATCGCTAAAAAAGGGATGAAACTTCTGTTAAAGTTAACTTTTTTTTAGAAAGAAAACAAAGTGGAACAGACCATTATGGCATCAAGATCAATCTGGACCCTCGCGGACTTCCGCTTTGCTCTATCTGCTCCGGAGGGAACCAGGAAATGCAGCTTGTGCAACAACTCTATTTCCTCGTCGGATAAATGTCGCGCGGTCTTCCGCTCCCTGGAGCGAGCCTTTCACAAGCATCACATTAGGAACAAGTTAGGGTTAGAAGGAAGGAAGGAAGAGAGAGAAGGATGCCATTCTTCCTAGAGCGCTGCACGATCGAGAAATTTCCCTCGAGAGTACACGCGCGAAATCGGCAATCGCGATTGACTTTATGTCAGTTGGCGATTTTGTGACGGATAACACACGATTGTCGATTATCCCGAACGAAAAATGAAGAGACGGACGAAAGAGACACAGAAGGAAACTCAACTTCTTGTCTCCATGCATTTCTCCTTACATTTTATTTATGTATCACGAGATGTCGCATATCAATCGATGAAAGGAAAGGCTCGGGGCCGCAATATCATGAATAAATATCAAACGTTTTGGTCACTAGACTGTCTTCAGTGAAACGAAAGTAAAAGATATAATAATCGCAACGTATATCAAGGCGTAACAACTTAAAAACGATAATATAAATCGTCATAAGACAGAGTTAAATCTAGAAAACCGGAAGAATCCAAAGATAATGTGACGCTGCCAAAAATTAAATTTAAAAAAAGCAAAGTTACAAATACATGCACGAGAGGAGTCCAGCGATAAAATAATAACGTCATGATGTAAAATCGATGTTATTGTCAACAGTTACAAGTTGTATCGACAAACGAGTGTACAAGCTAAAAGGTCGCATTTATATAAAGGAAAGAAAGACAGAGGGAAGAATAGGCGGTGATAGGAACAAAATTTTATGTCGCATACATAGAGGTGTGACACTTTGATGTTATTTTTTGGTATTTTTTGCGTTTTGTTTTTCCAGATTTTGCGTTATTTTAATGTTATTTTTGTGGCATATTTTGCGTTTTGTTTTTCCAAATTTTGCGTTATTTTGACCAATGTTTTTAATAATGTCGTGGTCAGAGGGTGGGCAGGGCTTTACAATAAGACGACTTAATGTCTTGATAGAACAATTTACGACATATATTAAGGCTAAACATATGTTAAAAATGTAACATAAAACATAACATATTAAAATAGCATGGGACAAATTACTGAAATTACATATCATTTTCAGGCTGTAAAAGCAGTGATATGTTTAAAGAAAGTCTCAGGCATAAATCTCTTTGGTTTAGCCCTAAAATTGAAGAAAAAGAACTGAATGGTAACATTTCACAAAATTAGCAAAATTATTGATATCAAAGTAACAAGAAAAAGATATTAATCCTTCAAATACAATATTTACTTGCGGCTGCAGAGTTGATTGTCAACAATTTTCAACCTTTTTCTCTGATACACGTGATACAACATTGACGTTAGAAACGTTTACTAAGGAAAATTGCGATTGTTGACGTTATTTGGACGTCATTTTGCGTCATTTAGCGTTTTAGAGACGTGTTAAAACGAAGTTGGGGACTCCAAAATGTCAAGAAATGACATTAAAGACGTTCCTAGGGCATTTCGCGTTATTTTGCGCATAAAGATAACATCAAATTGTCACGCCTCTACGCAATTATTTTTATCCGTTATTAATCGCCGCAAAGTTTGGAGAAGCAAAGAGCAAGATAGTGAACGAGGCCGTTCGAAGTTGAAATTTCGGTACGCGCGAGGGAAAGCCAGAGGAGCATCTAAATATCAGACACGTCGCTAAAACGGAAAGGTTCGCGGATCAGAATTCAGATCATTCAGACGCGAGGTGTTCCGGCGGACCCGGGCACGGTGGACGCGTGCCGTCTCGAGGCCGCGATCTTTGCATACGCGCTGCTCTAGAATCCTAGCGATGCGCACGAGTGCCGTCTCCCAAGTTCCGGGAGCGAACGTCCGCGGTCTTTGCGAACTCGCGGCGGCCTTTCGCCACGAACACGACCCACCACGGGGAGAAACTATTTCGCTAACGAGGCTCTGCGAGCGCTGGGCTCTCGGCGAAGTAATTGGAATTCATGCTGAAGTGTCTCGCGCCGGGAGATACGCGCGCGCGCACGCTGATAACTGCGGCTGATAACCGTAGCGCCAGTAATACGTGCGGTTAGCCCTTATTCCGCCGTTACGGTCCTGTACCCGTGTAAATTCTCTCCAAGTCTCGATTCTTTTCATTTAACCCCTGGACGGGCGCGGAATTATAAGAGCGAGGCCCGGCGAAGCTGACTTTCTATTTGGTTCAGCTTCGAATTAGCGCGAAAAAGTGCTCCTCCGGGCGGAATAACATAGATTTATCGCAGGTTATTTTACAGTAAAGACATCAAAGACGTGTAAAACTGAGAAAATCACGCGTAACTCCTTCACATAACGGCTCTCAAAATAGTACCGTACTGGAGAATTTTAGCTTACGTAACGGGAATTGCGCGTCCTTCGCAAAAATTTATGCGCTACTACGCAACATTTTCTATTCCTGTTCTACGGTCTTCTCTCGTGCCCGGTTCGTCAACCTTATCGCGGACACTTAATCGCGCTTCCCTCTTATAAAGATCCCCATTTGATATATTGATAAATCTATGAAACCGGAATCCTCAAACTCGCTCCAAATCCTCGACTTGTCCCTCTTCGAGGCGACAGCGAAGAAACAGTCACGTTACGCTAGCGCCATCGGGAAGGATAACGGATATTTATGCATTCGAGCAAAGGTTACATTCGCTCTCCTTGGCACCCAATCGTCTTGTCCCGATACTCGATTGCTCGTTGGAATCGTGCAAGTGCATCGCCGGCAACTTAATATGCGCTCAATTAGGACGTTTACTATGCACACAGACGCACTTACTTACCGTGTAGGCAATGGTGTTGAGGGGCTGCGAGACACGGCCGTGCTTCTTCTCCTGTGTCGTGGAGCCATCTTTGCTCTCGTTATCGGAATCTAAGCAGAAAGAAAAGCCAATTTTCAGTCACGTTACTCTCTTCAACGGCGTACGTTGATAAACAAAGCGCCTGTGATGTATAATAATATGCGCGTTTTATCTCCGACTCGCCTGAGATTATTGCGCAGACATCTCTGTCGCCTAAAAGTGACTTGGCGAGGAAACGGACTTCAGATTACTCGCGTCTACTCCGCGGTATCAAGAGACATCGCACATTTATCCTATTCTTGTAATAAACTGAGATAATTTTTAGACAAACCGTGCGACAGAGTCAACATATTGTTAACGTGCTACGTACTACGTCTAACAATAAGTCGAATCGCAGGATAGGGTGTGTCCTAATACCCGTATGTCCTGTAGATGGCAGATAGACCGGGGCAAACTGAATAGAAAAGTCCTATACTATTTTGCAAAATTCGCAGTAGTTATCGAGAAAAAAATTATCGAAAATCGTCGTCTT